TTCCGGAAGTCCAGGAAGACTATGTCCACTGCTACCCCTTGTTCTTGTTCCCCTGCTAAATTTATAAATTACTTCCTGTGCTAAAACAGTCTTGTTTCAGTTGGGATGCCTTCTGTTATGTCTCAGGCCAGTGAAAACTACTGCTGGAAAATCAGCATCATTGTAAGGTTGACTGTTGTATCTTAATTTTCTTTTTGATTTCCTTAGGCCGTACAAGAAGTGGAATTGTAGACATGAAGAGGCAAAAAATGCTTCAGCAAGGAGCTACTCCTGTTTTAGGATTATTGTCTGTAGTTCCTCAGTCAGGACATCATAATTCTTCATCCGTGGCAAATACCCATGTTATCAGACCAATAATAAATCAAAATGTAACACAGACAAGATTGAATACTTTGTTTGCACCTCAGTCTCGGACACAAGAAAACAAAATCAGCAGTAAGTTATACTTGCTACTTTATTTATTTATTCATTCATTCATTCAGTTTATACATATAGATGGAATTATTTAAAAATGCTTATTAATCCTCATATACAAACTGTGGTTTCTTTTGAGAAATTCATGATTTTGTACATTCTTAAAGATGTCAGAACTAATTCATGCATTAAAAGAAATGCACAAAGGAGGAAGATTTTTTTTTTTTTCCAGCGGCCCTAGTACATGTAATGTTGGGAGTTCATAGATGCCTCAGTTTGTATCTTTTTTACATCTTATGATCTCTAAAGCTCTTTTTTAAGGAGATAAATTACGTTTAAGCTGTACTCAAGAGGGATGGGAATTGAATTCTAGACCTTGACAGGATGATGTCTCTACTACCCTAAGAAACTTCATTAGAAAAGGGGCTTGCATCTTCTATATTCGTCTTTTAAAGCAGGAGATTCCATACATATTCAAGTTCCTGGACCTCAAGAAAGAAAGCTTCACTCAGGCTTATTGTCTCCAGCAAGACGCAAAAGGTGAGTACACTATTAGTACTAGTCTCTAGCATGCAGTCCCTTAGAATGTAATTGCCACACTAGTTCAAATCCAAGTTCAGCTAATCCAGCGTCTCATTTTTGACAGTGGTCAGTACCAGATGCTTCAAAAGCAGGTATAAGGACCCCATGTAAACAGATACAGATGTGACCTCAAGAGAGTTCTCCACTTAATTGTTAATAGCTATAAAGATTGGCTTAAGCCTTGAAATCCAAGGTTTAATATTCCTTCCAAAATTTGTTAGTGGTCAAGTATGAAAACTCTAGATATCGATATCTAATCTGGTATTTAATCTTAGGGAGGTTCTTGGCTTCAACCTCCTGTGACAAGGGGTCCGATGGACTAATTAAACTTATTGTTAAAGTATCCTTTTGTTGTTTTGTTTTTTAATTCCACATTTTATCATTACCTTTTCCTTCAAATGATGTAGTGAGAACAGAATTTCATGGTTTGTCTTTAACCAGTTCATTAGAGGTGCACCAATACATCGGTCCGTATCATATCTGCACCTGGACCTCTTCAGCCTCCGCAAGAGAAGGCTGAGAGGTGATCTTGTAGCCTACAAATTCATTGGGGCGGGGGCGCAACAAGAAATCAAAGATGCTTTGTTCACCAGGGCGCCTCTTGGTGTAACAAGGAACAATGGTCACAGACTGACAGAGCAGATTTAGGTTAGACATCAGGAAAAACTTCTTCATGGTAAGGGTGGCCAAAATTTGGAATAGGCTTCCAAGGGAGAGATGGTGCTTTCCCCTACCTTGGGGAGTCTTTAAGAGAAGTCTGGATAGGCATCTGGCTGGGGTCATCTGACCCCAGCACTCTTTCCTGCCCGGACAGAGGGTCAGACTCAATCTGTTGAGGTCCCTTCCTACCCTAGCATCTATGAAAATTGACATTATCAGCAATTGGCTTTTTTTGGCTGATGTGGCTGATAATTTTGCCGATAAATGCTGCAGGCATGTGTGCATCCACAGCATGCACAGGACCAGGAGTGCAGCCTGGCAGCTTGGAGAGCAGTGTCTGGCTCGTAAGTCTGTGGGGCATTTCCTAAGAATGGCAAAAAATGCATTAGCCAAGTGCAGTGCAGAAAACCATTTCACCCCTCCTGCTATGGCTGCTAGAATTTCTGGGTATTTCACCACAACATTCAGTGTGACGAGTTCAGCTTCCCAGTGAAATGGACTGAAGTTAGTGAACATACTTTACAAACTAGAACAAAACCATCCTCCTCTTACACTTGCAGATTCAGTGCCATTTTCCACTTACCTTCACA